CCCCAAAACCCCAAAACCCCATGCTTACAAGAAAGTTTTCAAAATAAGAATCACAAAAATATAAGAATAAATATTAAATAAAAGCATATCTATATCCAATTAACAAGAATTAAAGTTTGAGTTTTAATTACGTCAATTCTTTTAAAAAATTGACTATTTAAGACAAACCTGTTAGAATCATTTATAGAAAAAAATTTGAAAATTTAAGACATTAGATGGGAAACTCTCAAAATAATATAGTAAGATCAAACAAACATATTGTCATTGTGGGCGGTTCTATTGCAGGCTTCGCTTTGGCTGAAGCACTGTGGGATTAATTTCAAGTGACTATAATCGATATGAAAGATTACTTCGAATTCATTTTGACAAATGTAAAAGCAGCTGCTATCCCAAACTACATTAATGAGATTATATTACCCTATGAAGAAATAGTGAGAGCCAATCAGAATAAATTCAAGTTTATATAAGGCAAGCTTGAAACAGTAAACAAAGACAACTCTATTGAGATTGCAAATAAAGATGGAGCTAAATCTGTTGTCTAATATGACATTCTTGTACTTGCCACGGGTTTCTCTTATGAGCAGCCAGTTAAAGATGAAAAAAGTCTTACCCTATAAGATAGAAGAAATGGTATCTCTGAGTTCTAGTAGAAGATAGCAAATGCTTAATCTATATTAGTTGCTGGTTCTGGAATCGTCGGAATAGAACTGATGGGTGAGTTAGCGCATGCTTATCCAGAAAAATAACTCTCTCTCTTGTCTAGAGGTGGGAGATTACTTCAAAATATGAAACCTTAAGTTGGTTAAATACTTGACACATATTTCAAATCTAAGAAAGTTAAGCTTATCTATAACAAAGCTTATGACTCTAGAGATAAATCATTTGAGAAATATGACTGTGTCATTTAAGCTACTGGATACACGTATAAGACTGACTTTATGAAGAAAAATTTTGCTAATTGTTTAGCGTCGACCGGAGAAATATATGTAAACGACTTATTCTAAATTTCCTCTGAAGACCCTGCACAAGATCCTAATGCTATTGGCGTAAAAGAAAATATCTTCTGTTTCGGGGATGTTTCCAGATGCAGTCTTTAGAACACTAAGTCAGCTGTTCAGATAAAATGGCTCTCTCCACTACTTATAAAAAACATTATTCAACTTGCGAATGGGCAAAGACCTTCAAACCAAATTCCACAAAAATAATCGTACATGGCCATGATTTCCCTTGGTCCAAATGATGCTTTAATTACCTTGAATGGATTGGTGATATTTAACAAAAAAGCAGGCAAGAGTAAATTTGAAATGGCTGAAGATAATATGAGAGCTTTAAGAGGAGATATTGGAATCAGGAAAAAAAATTAGAAAAAATTGAATAAAGTTAAGGGTTTCCTAAGCTGCTTGACATGTTGTTGCTTCTGCTGCGGCTGCTCTAATTTTAACACTATAGTGACCAGATAGCCTAAAAGCTTTTGATCATTGAGCTTACAGGTTTTTATTTCATATTTTTATATATTCCCAAGCTTAATTTTATTAAAAAATCAACATTAATTAAATAAGCTTTATACTAAAAATCCATATTCGCGGGGTTTTGGGGTTTTGGGGTTTTGGGGTTTTGGGG